ATTGGTCCAAACCCACAGAACGCACACACTAAGAGAAGACCGTGATGTCAGCCGTGGACTTTGGGTGACGCTGATGACGACATGTCACTGTAGGTTCGCCAACCATAACAAACGTCCCACTCTGGAGGGGGCTGTTGTTAACGGGGAGGCTGTGCCTGTGTGGGGGCGGGAGGGATAGGGGAACTCTCTGTACCTTCCTCCTAATGGTGCTGTGAACCTACAGCTGCTCTAAAAATAAAGTCTTTAAAAAGTTTTTAAAGAATAGCCTCCATAATAATAGTAGCCACTCTGTCTTACTCTTATTAGTGACAAAACCAAGGTCCACAGTTAGGAATGTCAGAGCTGGAGGAGAGCAGCTTCTTCTGGCTCTGAGCCCACGCTCTCCCCAGCTCCAGCCCGCCTGCAGGTGGGGCGGCAGGATCTGGAGCTGGCCTTCCCAGGGCTGCCAAGGGACTTTAGCCAACCACGGCACGGGGGCCTGGGCAGGTCATGCCAGCCACCGACGCCCACTGGGGACTTCAAGAGACAGGAGCTGCTGAGGGCCCTGGACCACGGCTGTGCAGCCTGGAGAGCTACACCGGCCAGCAGCCTCCAAGGGTGGTGACATCCTGCATAGAATGGGGACTGGGGCCAGCACAGGCCCTGGAGTTCGACTGCCTGGGTACAAATGCGGGCTTCTGCCTCTTACCAGCTCGGTGACCTTGGGCACCTTACTTCACTCCTCCATGCCTCAGTTTCCCCATCAGTAAAATGGGGGTAATCAGGCTTTCTACGTTGTAAGATTACTGTGCCATCCAGATGAGGTGACACTCGCAAGCGCCCCACAGGGTGGGAGATAGGAAGCCTGCCACAGGTGGTTGCTGTTCTCACTCTCAGCTGTCACTTCTCAAGCCCTATGCCAGACCCGCTGTGTTCCTTAGCTTACCTCATCCTCACCCCACAGCCAAGGAAGCACGACAGTCTCCATGCTCAGAGGCCTTTCCCAAGGCCACCCAGGTAATGAGAGGGATCTGGACCAAGGACCCCTCCCTCCAAAGCTGCTGTGTCGCCCTGCCTTTTGGGGCGAACAGTCCCTGTGACAGGTGCATCCGCCCACAGTGAGCAGCCCGGCCTCGCTGACTGGCACATTCCTCGGGTGGTTGTGACCTGGGAACAGTGAAGTCCTGGCTGCAAGAGGGGGCGGGGGAGGCTGGACAGAAAAGCCCCAGGTAATGTAAATGGAAACTCTAACCGACAGGACTGCACCTGGTGTTTTTGCATTTCCCAAGACAGCTGAAGGGATTGTGTCTGAAGCTTCACACCCCGGAGGAACCCGTCTGTAGCCATCAGGGCGGCTGGACTGGGTCCCAAAGCCACCTCATGTCCCAGCCTAGAAATTCGGTGTGGGAGCTGATTTAAATGCAGCCCCGCAGGTAAACTGGGACCCATCTGGGAGGGGCCTTGACCCAAATCCCAGCCAAGGCGGTGGGGGGGGGGAAGGGGGGTGCTCTCTTAGATCCAAGGAGGAGGCAGTAATGCTCTGTTCCCCACAGACTCCTGGGGCATTAAAGGGAGACCCCAAGGCCACTTGTCTGGGCTGTATGTGAACTGTGCCGGGGAGGCCACCCCCTGGGAACCCTGAGGGTCTGGCTCCTTCTGGCACCAACTATGCGGGCAGCATACACCAAAGACTCGGGCATCATGCGGGAAGCGGTGCTCAAATAGATGACGTAAGCTGCCCAAGGTCACGCCCAACTGGAAGAACCGGGACTCAGAGCCAGGCCTGACTCCAGGGCCCTGGCACCTTCCCTGAGCCTATCCAAACAGGACCTGCAGCCACCATAGCTGGGAGAAACCAGCCCAAATGTGTCGCCAGTCAGCGGCCACCCTCCAGCACAGAGCACAAGCCGTGGCACCCCGGGGAAACCCCAAATACCAGAGGACAAGGTCCGTGGCCTTGAGCTGCAGTAAGTTATAGGGCAAGCAGTGCAACTGTGCGAGTGACCGGAGCCAAATCCCCACATCAGCAGGGCTGGCCCAGCTGTGTCAGACAGACAGGCACGTGCAGAGCAGTCAGGGGCCTGGTGAGGCTGAAGGAGGCCTCTGCAGCTGGGTGGTGTGGGGGGTGGGGGGGTGCAGCCAGCCAGCGGGCACTGGTCTGTAAGGGTGGCCACAGAGGACGAGGAAGTCCGGCAGCAGGCCGAGCCAAGACCAGGCCCCACCACACGGCTCCAGGAAGAAGGTGGCCGGGAGGCCTTCCAACCACGGTCAGAAATTTTCATTTGAAACGAGAGGCGGGTGGAGAGTGCCCTGCAGGGACAGAGACCACAACAGTGCTGGACACAAAGCCAGGATCTCACAGAGCCCTGCGTGTCCCTGCGGGCAGCAAGCACACGAGGGGCTCAGAGGAAGCCCCCCACTGCCCCATTCTGGTAAGCAGGGCTGCAGTGCCCAGCTCTGGGTCCAGCTCCCCACGGCCTGAGCCCCCCTGCTCCCCAGTCCCCAGAAAAGGTAGGGCAATGTTTGTTTGACTTACCTATTAACCACTTCCCCAAAATAGAGCCATGCCTGTGGGGTGTTCCAATTCAGGAGGCTGCTCAGACTTGAGTTGCAAACCGTCCTACCTCCTGGAACCCTTTCTGAGAGGCTCCTCTATGATCAGTAACGTCCCGGACAACTAGACCCCCAGGAGCAAAAGGTTCAAGCACTAAAAAGGCGAATCAAGGCCAGATGTTGACTAAGGGGCTTCAAGGTTAAGAAACCATCTCCAGGTCAACTCACAGCTGAGCTCAGGCAGACAGGACCCCTGGCTGTCTCTTCCAACCTGTCCCCCCGAACGGTGTGCCCCTTGGCCTCCCAGCCCCCCAAGCCTGTGCCTGTCCTCTCACCAAGTACGCTGCCCCTGCACTCAGGGTCCCTGGTCACCTGGTGGATTCAGAGGGCACGACTCCAAAGGGGGGACCCCAGCTCAGCCAGCAGCCTGGGACTTTTGCTCTGACACCAACACCACATGATCAGGCAAACCGCCGGGAGCGGCACCCACAGGGGAAACGGGCCAGGCAACATGAAAGCAAGAACAAAACCAACATCGGGCGGGTTATTTTTATCATGCTCCAGACTCGCAGCGGAGACCTGACAGCTAAAGGGGCATCCCAGGCATTGGGCAGGTTTCTTTCACCCTCTGCCTCTTCCCTCCTTCTGTGCCCTGAGCCCCCTCCTCGGGAAACTGAGAAAGTGGATCGGGTCAGAGCAAAACATTCCTCATTCTGCCTTCTCCACAGGAAAAACTAATTAGTCGCCAAATATTCGGAATGGGTAATTGCTACCTGAATTAATAAGGGCAAACAGCCGGCAAGAAAACAGTGGTTTACTATTTCTGAGAGCTTGCCTCTCTTAACCCGGAGTCCCAGGCTCTGCTGGGAGGGACTGGCCCTGGTGCGACACGTCTCCCACCGGCAGCCGCAGAAAGGGGCACATGGCAGCCTGGGGCTGGCCCCGCTCCCGGGTCAGTTCAAACACTCCTGTGGTTAGGGGTCACCCCGTCTCCTCGAACACCCAGCATACGTGTGCTCACATACACGTGCACACTCACATGAATGCACACACCACACCTGCACACGAACCACACACACGCCTGAACCACACACACCACACGTGCACACACACACGTGCACACAGCACATACCAGGGACATCCAAGGGTTCCAAGGAGAATGCATCAAACCAGATTCTCACCCAGGGTTTTCACCAAGTTGCCCCAAGTTCGTCAACTCTGAGAGGGAGTGTGTAGACCAAACTGAGGGGGTCGCAGGCAGAAGGAGGAAGAAGAGAGAGAAAAGGAAAGTTGAGATGACCCTAGGGAGAAGAGAACAGGCACGTGCGGAGGCTGGCGCAGCCCCAGTCCACCCCCACCCCGGTACAGGGTCCAGAGTCCCGCCCAGAGGGTCCTGGGGAGCCTGCTAAGCCCCACCATGACCTTGCTGTGTGACCTCAGACACATCACCTTCCCTCTCTGGGCCTGGGTTTCTGCCTATGTAGAAATGAAGTGCGTCGGTGCAATCATTTGAACAGTTCTGAGGCGCTGCCCCCCAGGAAGGCTCCAGTTCAAAATTGGGGTCATCACAGTCTCCCCGCCTGCAGCCCCTCCCCACCCACCCCTGCCGGAGCATTTACCACAGGACTTCCCCTGCACATGGCAGCAAGTAACTTCCTCTGGGGTGGCCATGGCTCTCTGGAGGCGTCCCAGTGTCACAGGCAGCTTAGCTTCTCGCTGCTGTCAAAGCCGCGCAGAGAATTCTCGGCTGCATCTGCGGGGGCTGCCCTCACCAGTGGTGCGTCTGTGTGAAGCTGCCACGGAAGTTAAGTGGGTCCACATGATGCATATGATTGGCCCGTCACTTTTTTTATTTAATGACATATTGTAAGCAGCTCTCATGGCTGTACGTGGACGGTTCTTTTCCGAACAGCCACACAATAATTCCATTGAGGGCTGTTTCATAGATCCAGCTGAAGCCCTACTCCGGCGATTTTATTGCAGGTTTTTCCAGTCTTTGGCTTTTATAAGTATTGCTATAATAACTCTGCTTATAGGTACTCATTCTGTATAAATGAAAAGTTCTCCGTGTGTAGATATCTACCCATATCTTTAGAGGTTCCTATTCGCCTAGAAACAAAGTCTGGTGCCCCGCACACCAGGTCCTGAGCTGCAATCACTTCGGGGCATGGGATCAGGGAAGGAAAACTCAAGCTTTCTGTAAGCAATACCTTATACTGTTTGGGAAATGGAATGAGTAAGGGGAAAATAAACAAAATGCAGCCCCTGTTGAAACCTCTTTAGAAGTGGTTTTATTAGCGGGTATGGATCTGGCAGGAGCAGAGTCACAGAAGCATGGAACAAAGGGAGGACGGTGGATGTGTCAGGCGGAAGGAGAGGCCGGGGCCACCGCTTTGTTCTGCTGGGTCAGCTCTCCCCTGGGCTGGCGAGGACAGGACCTGGGTTCAAATCCTGCTCTGTGCACTCACCTGGCACCCGGGTGTTGTTTTGTGTGAGGACTTCCATTTCCCTGTGTGTAGAACAGGACACCCAGCCAGCAGGTCACACGAGACCACCAGAGAGCGCCTGGCATGGAGGGGTCACCATCAGCCTCTGTCCTGCCATCTTCCTCCCTGCTCCAGGTCCTGAGAAAAAGAAACACTGAATCTCACAGCCGCTCCTTAAGTCCCCATGCCTCTCTCTCCAGCCTCCCCCACGGCCCCCAACTCAGTCTCAGGGCTTCCCCACCCTGTGGCCTTTCTCCTGAAGAGAGAACCCCTGACAACACCACGTCTTTGGGCACAAATGTGAGCACGTCTAGAAATCCCCAGATGATTAATAACTAAGACAACCCCCTTTGTCACTAATGATATATGGCAATAAACCTACTGGCCAATGTTTTTTACTTATTTTTCTAGGAAAACACAGTAAGCCCAAGAACACAGAAACACAGCAACTCCGGGGTTGAGCAGGGATATTCTTAAAAATCCCAATGGTGCTTATACGATTTAGCGATCTTTCCCTTCACGTGGATGCGCCCTGGGTTAGGAGTCGGGACCCCTGCAGATGCAAACAGGAAGGGAGGCCTGGCGGGCAAAAGCACACAATGCAGTGGGCCTCACACATCCGCCCGCCATGGTCACCAGACGCTGAGCAGCCCACACCCATGCCAGGATCCACGGTCACCTGCACCCAGGCAGGCCACTGACTAATCCCAGCTCACCTAGGCCAGGTGACCTCGGGAATCAGTAACTTGAGCCGGAAGTCCCAGCCTCCTCCTCTGTAAGGGAGCATCTCTTTCCTCGAGGGTTGTCAGAGGATCCCACGAGATAAAGTTGACCAGCCAGTGGGGTAACGGCTGATGTCACCACATTCCCACAGGTCTCAGGAGGCTGTTCCCATAGTCAGATGGGCTCATGTCTGTGAAATAGTGTGAGGATATGAAAAGTGGGGCCTTTAGTCACCCCCCGCCCAGGAGCCAGCCCTGGGTCCCTACCCAGCCGGACTCCCCAGGACTGGGAAGGAAGCTCATCAGAATCCAGAATCGCTGTTAGTCACCAAAGGCTCTGCTCCCCACCTCCCCAGTGGCCTGCCTCCCTGCCCCATGAGCAGAGTCTCCCGGGTTCCCAGTCCGGGAATCAGCCTTCGGCCCTCTCCCTAGAGACACTGAACACTTCAAGGGCCTCACTCCAGAGAACATCAAAGACCACAGCATTTCCCATGGCATCCTTCAACCAAGTGACCTGTGAATGTCCATCCCCGTGACCCGGGAGCTCGGCTTTGACTAGGGAGCCACTGGCCCCCCAGACCCCATGCCCCAAATCCATTGCAGGGGCCAGTGACAGGGCTTCCCCAGTGGAGGGGCTGAGATGGGTTCTGCCTGGGATTTGCACCTTTACCCTACTCAGTAAAGAGCTGTGTCGCTATAAACCTCTCCTCCACTTTCTTACGGGCTAATGGGTTAAACATCTTTAATTTTAGAAATAATTGCACACAACTGTAGAGCACACACTGGCCCCAGGTCCCCCAGCTTTGTGATCTCTCCATGCATAGGGGACAACAATATTTTTAGGCCTATCCCAGTTACCCACCCTGGCCGCAAATGAAATATTAATGAAAGGTTATGCTCGCAGCCTTCAGAAAATGATTACTCAAGACAGCAATTATATTTTCCCCCTTTCTGTGTAATAAAACTGCACCTCACTGCGCAGTAGGAATTAATAATTCTGAACCCTGTTGTTACTGAGGCAACATCAAAGCGGAAGGGAAGGCATGCCCACAAGGGAAAACACACACACACGTCGAGACCCACAAAGAAAGTGGGTGACTTCAAAAGAGCAGGATTCTATATTCAGGGCTGGGATCCTTTCTCAAGGTCATTAGCGTCTCTAGCTGACTGAAAGAGTGGCCCAATTACAAAGCACGCAGAGAAACAGAAATGAGAACAGGACATAGCGACAACTCCAACTCCGGGTCACTCCGCATGGCCGCCAGCCTGGCAAGTACCTGCAGCCAATCGGCCAACTCCCCAGAATCCTTCCAAGGGACTCAAAAGCTCAGGACAGCCAGCTGACTCCAGAGCCAACGGGCAATTTCCATGTAAGAAGAAAGAGGACACCCCACGGCCTGGAAGAAAAATAGTGGCCATTTACTGAGCACCTGCTTATGGCAGGCAAGTGCGAAAGGCGGGAAGTCCCAACCTCATTTGCTAGATAACAGCACTGAAGTTCAGAAACATTCACTGAACTGCCCAAGGTTACACGGTAAATGGCAGATTTGGGATTTAAACTGACATCAAAGAGGGTGAGGGTCGTCTGAGTCTCTGCCCTGTTCATTTCAACTCCCCACAGACCACCTAGCAGGGTGCCCGGCAGAGAGTAGGTGCTCAAGAAATTGAACTTATATAACCAATGCATGATTACACTGGATCCAGCATCCACACTCGGAAGGCAAAACTCTGCACCTTCTCAACAGACTTGAAAAGAAAAAACAATTGTGACTTTATTATCTTTTAAATACGGAACACTTTGTGAATTTGCATGTCATCCTTGTGCAGGGGCCATGCTAATCTTCTCTGTATTGTCCCAATTTTAGTAGGTGTGCTGCCGAAGCAAGCACGAGAAAACGCAGTTGTGACTTTCAATGAGTCTCAGCGTTCAGGAAACTGGGGTAGGTGGGGGAAAGGGCGGCATGCGATTTGGCACATCCCGTGACAACAGGCACCCATCATGCTCCCCCAACACATGCTCTAATCTTACCCCTAGAGGCACTGTCAAACATTTTTCATAAGAGAATAGAACAATCCACTAGATTAGTGGGATACCGTACGAAGCAATTACAGTTTCGTTTTGCCCTGTGACCATATGAAAATCAGAAATTTTTCATGACGTTCCCTTGAAGGAACCTTCTGCTACCAGATCATGTCCTGACCCTCGGGGGGGTGGGGGCTGCCCACCGCCCTTCAGCCCTTTAGGTAACTCTGGGGCAAATGAGAAAAACCTTAAGGCCTTAGAGAACAAGGTCATAGGTTGCAGCAGAACAGGGTTGCGTAGCTGTGACGGGGCTGCGGATCATGTGGCCCGGAGCCGGGGGCCCAACAGGCAAAGGAGAATCTGCTGACCCTACTGGAGGTGGGGAGAGCTGCTGAGGCAGGGCGAACAAAGCTGTCCTGGGGTCACTGAGGTGGGGGTGAGTGAGGCCTTCCCCTCTGACAGGGAAGAGCAGGGGTTCCCAAGAGCTGTGCATGTGGAAAGAAGGCCCAGGGAGGCCAGGAAATGGCCAGCAAGGTGGTGGGGCAGACTGCCTGCTGGGTGGGTTCTTCGCGCCCCAGGATCCTTCTGGAAACTGCAGCACCTCTGTGTGTGTGTGTGAGGAGCTGGGGCAGCCCTTTGTGATGGGAATGCCAGGAGGGACAGGAGAGGAGGTGAGAGGGGTCTGTGAGAGATGCTGGGGGAACTCAGCTCTTCAAGCAGAGGGAGCGCTCTGGGCGGACTGAGTAGCCCTTAAACAGACAGAGTAACGGAAGCCCGATCACGGCCCAGCACCCAGGCTGGCGAGAGGGCTGACGGGCAGCAGCCGGAGGAAGGGACACCCGCTTGCTGAGCATCCGGTACGTGTGCAGTGTGCTCAGTGCTAGATGCAGTGTCAGAAAACGCAAACACAGCCCGTGAGGATCATGCAGCCATGTGACGACGTCGGCACAGCCCGCCGGCAGCCAGATACAGAAACAAGGGCCTGCGTCTTGCTGGGGACTCGTGACAGAGCCCAGGTGCCTCGGCAGCTTGCCCATGGACACCGCCTGCCAGGGGCGGTGTTTGCACAAAGGGCTCAGATGAAGTGCACCGGGGTCCCTGAGACACCGTCCAACCCAGGGTTCCATGAGAGCTCCCGACGGCCCTCCAGAATGAGGACACCCTGGTGGGAAGCATGGAGAACACCACGGCCAGGGGCACTGCTGGAGGGAAAGACGGAGAGAGGGTCCCACCACCTCCGGAAAAGGGCCAGAGCGCCTGCTTTTTCTGACACCAAATGAATCCACTGACACTCATCCTCCTTAGTCACATGGGGCCCCAGACCCAGAGAGCCACTGGCCAGAGGTGGCAAGGCCCCAGCCTCCTCCTGCCCTTAGCCTCTTCGTGCTTCCCTGCTCAGCAGGCCTGGCCAGAGAGGCCACACAGAGAAAGGGCACAGTGGCAGAAAGAGGGGCAGCAGGTGGTCAGCCCCCCACCGCCAGGGAGCCCAAGGAAACTGGGTCCTGGGACCAAGCAGCGGGACTGCCATTTACAGTACAACAGAGCTCCTCAGGAAGCCTCCAGGGCCCTCACAGGCCTTCCTGACCTGCCTCTGAGTGGGGGCAGGGCCATCCTTGACATAGGACAGGCATGAGAGAGCAGGCAGGTCCGCACAGAGCCGCTGAAAGCCAGGGCTGGGACCACGGGCCTCAGCCAGTGCTGACCACAGATGCCCCAGCCTTCACATGCAACTGAGTGAGTGGCATCTGCGATGAGAAGAAGCGGGAATGTTCCGAGAACCAGATCCTCCTTCCTTCTTCCAGAAAATTGGGGCCATTTTCCAGGAAGGTTAAGAAGTCAAAGAAGCTGCTTTCCACAAGCCTGAGAGACAGGGCACTGTCCCAATCACAGATTCCATCGGTGACCACCTGCTCGCGTTCAGAGGGCAGGGAGTAGGCTACCCAGGCGAGGAACATGGAGAAGCTGGGGCCAGCGCAGTCTTGGGGTTCAGAGCAAGCCCCCAACTTCCCCAGCCCCGCCCAAACCCGTAGGAAGAGTCTTTCCTCTGCAGTGTTCTTGATTCTTCCTCCACCTGAGGCCTCACCCAGCATGGGGATAGGAATGCCTGAGGATAGGGGAAGCACACCTGAGATGTGGCCACCTTGCGGCCCGGGCCTACAGGGAGACAAGAAGCTGGGCCCCCAGGTGGGAGGGGGCACCGCTCCTGCCTCAGAGAAGCACCCTGAGGGCTGTGCTGCCACCTGGTCGTGGCCATGGGGAGAGGGGGCGCTGGGAGGAGGGGGCGCTCTGCCTGGCTGGCGGAGGCACGGGGGCATCACATACTCACTATTCATTCCATAACAGTTACTGAACGCCTCGCGATGCGCAGTCTTAAAACAGAAGCGGTCTCAGAGGGGAGAGACTTGCGACTATCCGACCCAATGCAGGGTGATGGCCAGCCCAGGTCGGGACAGGGACAAGCGCCGGCGCGGGCACGGAGGGACGTCTGCCCTGGCCGGAGCGCGGGCTGGGGTGCAGAGCAGGGAAAGGGAGAGAGAGTGCGCGGCCCGCGGGACCCCGGGGCTCAGCTACGGGCGCCTCTCTAGAGCCTGGATTGAGGAAGTTGGGGTCAGAGCTCCAGACAGGAGTCCTTGCTGCTGAATTCCCCTTCCAGACATCAGAGGCAAAGAGGAACACGCATTCGAGACCACCTGCGCCAGCACTTCCCGCTGGGTCAAAAAACAGGTCGCGTCGTCTTGAGCGCGGCCTCAGGGACAGGTTCCTCGGCGGCCCCGAAAACCACCGCTCCAGGGAGGAGGCTGCGGCCCCCGGACCGGGGCGGAGCTCCGAGATGCCCCGCCCACCGCACGCACCGCGCGCAGCCCCGCCCGGGTCCTCCTCCGGGTTAAGCTTCCCAGCCCGGTTCAGGACGCTTCTGCGCGCGGTTCCCACTCCTCCGTGCACCTTCCCATTCCAGCCTCCCGGCATCTCCTGCAACTGTCAAAATCACCTCTTTTTAAGTCCATTTCATTGCTCAAGACTCTTTTTGATGAGGCCTTTCATTATTCCTGGGTCCAGATACAATCTTTCTCTCTTTTCACCACCCCACCTCCACGTCCCCCAAAACCCCACCCCACCCTCGCAATTTGTGCAAACCTCTAATCCGACTGATCAGACTATATGGCCTCCTTACCGCGGAACACTGGGAGGTCCTTAAGGACTATCTGTGGAATGGAATGAGAGAGGACTTGCATCCCTTAACCCTACAAGCAATTCCAGCTTCACCCTACGTACGCCTTTGCCTGTGGACTCTCATGACCTAGAAGAGGAACCCGGGCCCTGCCTTTGGGATGAAGTTTCCTCCACCCTGACACGAATTGCCCTCTATCTGCAGGACTCGCTGAGTGCTCCTGGGAACCGCCAGGCTCCCCTCCCCACTGCAGTCTTGAAGGGCAGCTCAGCTGGCCTTTGGTGCCCCCAATGTGCGCTGGGTGCTAGGCAGAGCGGCATGAAAGCCACGAGACACTGTGAAAGGTGTGCCGCAAGGTGGGAAGAGTGTGAACCTCGAGGTCAGGGGGACCCACGTTCCAACTCTGCCTGCCATGCACTGTGGTTGTGCTGAGGCAAATTCCCCATGCGTCAGTTTTTTCAGCTGTAAAATAGGGGCAGTAATCACTATTTCGCAGACCTCCGGTAAGGACTGAAGAAACGCATGAACACCTATGGGCTCTCAGCACACATCAGCGGCTATTGGATACCCAGGGCAGGGTGGATATGAAGAACACAAGCTCTGGACCCAAATTACCTGTGTCAAACCCTGGCTCCGCCACGTGTTTGTTGTGTAACTTCGGACGAGTGTCCTTACCTTTCTGTGCCTCGGTTTTCCCATCTATGAAATGGGGATAATATGCTTAACAGTTACACAATTTCTGTTTGGGGGGGGTGAAAAGTTTGGGAAAGAGTGGTGGCAGCTGCACAACAGTGTAAATGGAATTAACGTCGTTGAATTGTATGCTTAAAATGGGTTAAATGGGCATTTTTATGTTATGTATGTTTTATCACAATTTTACAAAGTTAATAATAATGTCATATACCAAGAAGCAGTGGATTATAGGATGCGAATCATATCTCAATGAAACTGTTCATAAAAAATAAAAATAAATGAGGACAATAATATTACCTGCCTGATAGGGTTGTTGGAAGGGATTAAATGAGCCTGTACAGTACTGAGAATGGTGTCCAGCTTTCCCGACGAAGGAGAAGCACAACCGGGTTTGGGGATCTGTGAAAGTTTGGGTTTTCTGGGGCCTTTTGCATTTTGTTTTAGGATCCTTTTTTATTAGTATTATACAAACCACACAGAAATGTCTGAAATTTCCACTTCTAAGTTGGCTATAAGTCACCTGACATGCACAGTGCTAGGTGACAATAGTAGATGTTGACATTTGAGAAGTCATCCTGCTCAGAGACAGAAGGAAATGTCACTGTGTTGAAGGGGCCTGTAAGTGATTACATTCCTGGCTACTGAGTGTAGAACTTGGTCCCCCAGAGATAGCACTGGACACTTCTAGAAGCTTCTCTTCACGATGTCTGTTCTCATACCTCTTCTCTTTTTTCCCTCTTTTTCTTATTTTTTCTTTTTTTGGGGAGGAATTAGATTTTATTTTTTTGTAAGCGTAACTTTATTTTTATTATCCCAGTGTTATGTTTCAAGTGTACAATATAGTGATGACTCAACACTTCCATACATCACCCAGTGCTCATCACAACAAGTACCCGCCTTCATCCTCATCACCTAGTTAACCCAAACCTCCACCCACCTCCCCTCTGGTAACCATCAGATTGTTCTCTGTAATTAAGAATCTGTTTCTTGGTTTGTCTCTTTCCCTTTTTCCCTTTGCTTGTTTGTTTTGTTTCTTAAATTCCACATATGAGCAAGATCATATGGTATTCCCACATCCCCTTCTTCAACACAGCTCTGGGCTCACAACAGGAGCCAGGCCCTCAGCTGCTAGAAGAGCAGGAAACGAAGCTGGGCTCCAAGAAAGGGGTTGACAGCTCTCAGAGGCCAGGGACCAGAAGGGAAGCCTGGGTGAAATGGCTCTTCCTCCATATGGATGTTCAGCTCGGCTTTGCCTGCCTCTTCCTAAAGTTGAACTCAAATTTGCCCCCTGGTAGAGAGGGGGCTGCAGCAAGGGGGGGGAGTGCCTGGAGGGCAGAGACAGACCTGGGCATGGTGGGGGCAGGGGGAGCAGCCAGTCACTTCCAGACAGAAGTGGGTGGTGCCAGCCAGGGGCCAGATCCCACAAGGGCAGGGAGGGTGGTCCTGGTCCTGAACAGCTCATGTCAAACCAAGACAGGGCGTAGAAGAGCTCAAGACAAGCACGCTACAAATCTTAAACCCACCCCAAATTTGGGGTAGGTTTGCAATTAAACCCAAAGACTGGAATTTGGAAGATCAAAAAACTTGTCAATTTTACCCAAATTTGCTTTAAAATGAGAACAATGAGATTTGAGAGCAGAGGGTGGGCTTATGGCGGACTGCTGTGTTCTGGATTCTAAAGAAGGAATGCGCTTGAGTCCCAAGTTCCCTCCTGTCCCTGGCCACCGCAAGGCACCCGGAAGCACTGTCTCCTCCCAGGGCTGGGGGCCCAGGTGTGAACCCCAGACAACCCCAGACATCCACCCAGCCCAGCTGGAAGGGCACATTTCACCCTCTGGGGCTGTTGGCTTTATTCTGGGCTGAACCCAGTCAAGACCCAAAGGAGTACAGCGTGCTGAGTGCGCACCAGGGAGGGGAGGAAGTGAGCTGTCCAACTTCTGCTTCCCCTCCCCCCACAGGCTGTCCTGGGGGGTGGGCCCTTCCCCCGTGTGGGGGCTGGGGAACCTGGCTTTCCCCTAAAAACTCTGCTTATGAGAAGGACACCAGGCAGGATTGAACCAGCGGCAGCTCCACAGCACAAGCCCCCTGTACTCCCCGATCCAGCATGTCCCCTCGGTCCCAGCTCCTTGTCTCACTCAAGGTGGGCTGCAGTGACAAATGGCACCGAAGTGGCCTGCGCTCCATCGTAGGCCCTGACTCTGGGGGCCACGGAACTGTGGCAGGGCTTTGCAGCAAGCCTGGGTGCTGCAGGGCCCGGGAAACAATCGGGAAGCCCTCGAGCCCTCTGGTTCCCTCCCCCAAGCCAGGCTTTAGTCCTGAGCTCCTCCCCTCTCTCCCAGTTCCAGTAGTATGGCCAAGAGCTCCCTGATAAATACCAGTTTGGCACACTGCACTAAATGCCTAATCTTTCTAATCCTTGAGCCAACTTGGTGTAAGGTCACCACATTTTCCAGATTTGGAAACCAGAGCCCAGAGAGGCCGCTAGTCAATGGCAGAGCCCCATCAGAAGCCAGGTGCAACTGCCCGCGGCCTCGTGCCCCTCCCCTCAGAGCCCCTGGCCTTGAGCAGGCCGCCCCACCCTCCTCTGCTCAGGACCCACACTGACTCCACTGGCTTTCCCAGAGCCCCCGTGGAGTCCCACAGGCCCTCAGGTCAAAAGCCTCCAAAATACTTCAGCCAGAACGATCTTGCAACCCCAAATAGGACTCTAGAAGGAGAGAGGCAGAAAGATGCTCAGGCCCCCCGCTAGCCTCCAGGCCCCCTTTATCCTCTCTCCCATCTAACAACCACTTCATGGGAAGGGGGTGCAGGTGTGAGCCCTTTGCTTGTCCTAGCCACTGGGTGATCTCACTGTTGTTACTCCCATTTCGCACGTGGAAAACTAAGGCACAGAGAGGCCGCATGGACCACCCTGGGTGTTAGTAGCAGTAAGCACCAGAGCTGGGACTTGAGCCCAGGCCACGCACCTCCAGGCCTGTCTCCCTACAGAGACCATCGCCTGGTGAGACGGATCTCAGTAGCCCTCCCGCATCTGGGCCACACACACTGCTTCCTGCAAGGAAGGGGGGTGGGGGGGAGGAGAGCGGTGCAAAATCCCAAAGGGCAGGGTAGTGCCTTTTAGCCTCTAGGAAGCGCATCCTCCCCTACCTTCTTGGAATAGTCATGGGAGAGCTGGCTCATTGATCTGTTGAGTCACACTGCTCTGGGAGATGAGGTTGAAATATGCACCAGTCACAGCCTCGTAGGATCATTAGGACACACGCCATAGCCCATTTCCTACAACCCAAGAAGAAGCTCTCACATGAAGCTGTCAGGCCAGTTGGCTCCAGTACAAATCTCAGCTAAGGAGACCTGCCTGCTAGTGTCAGTACACGGGGAGTGCTCGGGGAGATGTAAGGCGTCGCTACCCCAGGACTGCAGGCGGAGGTGGCCGGTGCTCAGAGAGACGTCATCTGATGGAATAACAGAACACTTACAACATCTTTAAACATCTGCATGCCGAGAGGTCACAGTACGGATGAGTCAAAGAGTGAAAGTGGTAGGATGGCTCCCCTGAGAAAGGATGCCTGTCCCATGCTCTTCAGATGGTGGCCTCATGGCCTTCTCTCTCCCTCGCCTCCCTCCCATCACAGGCCTTGTGACAGGTACCGTCTCTCCTAGCTCCTAAAGTTTCTTCACGCTGCTTGCTGGCTTTCTGGAAGGATTTGGAGGGAGTTGTTATGTGTGTACTTTGGAACATTGTAATTCTGTATTGTGAAAATCTAGCACTTAATAAAATAACCATGACTGCTTATTTGTAATGAGTCTTGATGTTCTGGAAGGTTCCTTCTTATAAATGGAAGCTGGTTCTTATAAATATTTGGTCAATTAGCCATACTATCTGAAATAAATCATTTGCTCTCAGTTTTTATGGTGGTTAACAGTTTGTGAAGCAATTTTTA